AAATGCCAATTTTTTTTCCTGTTTATTTCTTCTCTCTCTCTGTTTCCTACTGTTACTTATCCACCTGTGCATTACCAAAGGAATGAACGACCGTATGGTGCATGCGTGCCTGGTGGTGTTTGGGGTTTCGGTGGGGGGATGTCATGAAGGAAACGTGTCGGCCAGTCCTTTGTTTACTCCCGGATTAACAGTCTTGTCTTGATGGGGCCCCCACCGCTTCACGCGTTCCTGTTTGACAAAAACAGACGGAGATGATTTGAAGATGAATGAACGACGAGTTTCAGTTTGAAGTGACCGAAATGAAGCTGATGGGGGGAGGGGAGGCTTTTAAACTGCTTAAGTTGAGAGGGGGGAATCGACTCGCGTCGTTTCTGCTTACCTGGACCAAAAAAAAAAAAAAAACAAAAAAAAACGGAAAAAATAAGTAAATACATAAATAAATAAACAAAATAAAAATCATGCCGCCTGTAAAACTTTTTTTTTTATTTTTTAAATAAATGAATAAAACTGTTCATTGGGCTGTACGCTTCTTCACAATGTAAGTGACCTGGATTTTATGTCTGCGTTTCAGGTTTGGAGTCGCCCTCTTGCTCCGGCCTCAAGGAAAATGTCAGGTTTCATATGAATGGAACTAATATGGATGTACCAATGCCTTCGGGGGCGTCATTTTTTTTTTTTTTTTTTTTTTTTTTTTTTGTAGTCATATCGTTAAAAATTTGACTTAATTCTGTTTCAATTCCATACCTCTTATTTAAACACGTGCTCATATAAACTACAGGAAATTTCTCGTTAAGTTCTTTTGCCACTTTGATCTCACCTGCTCAAGGAATTCCACTGTTTTTTTTTTTTTTTTGTTTTTTTCAACTCGACGGGGGGAAGGTCGTGCATGCAGAAGTACATGTGAGTGCGATTACTGCAGCCGAGGCCACACCTCCCGCTCTGAGTTACAGCGGCGGTATAAAAAGTCCGTCTGCGGTGTTGATACTCACATCCTGAATCCTGGAGCGCTCCCGAGCTGTTCATGCAAACCAGAACGTGCGCTCTGCATGCACAGATACGTCAAAGTCTTAAACTCGCATTGATTGTTTAAAAGAGAGAGAGGGAGAGAGAGAGAGAGCGGGAGAGAGAGAGAGAGAGACTTTCAGAATGGCTGTGGCTGAGGCACTGATGCCTGCCTTGACGTCGTTTCCAAATTTCAAAGCGATGGATAACGTAAGTAGAAGAATATTATCGTCTTTAAAGATTGGTTGATCACCATCCTGACATGAGCTTAAGTTATTCATTTATTTAATTGGGTTTATTTTCAGCTTTGCAACATGGATGAGTGGGTGAGGAGCGGCGCAACAGGTGGCACGGGCAGCGCGCGCATCGAGGTCGACTTGAGCATCGTTCACTCTCCGTCTGCAGCCCACAAAGACGATGACGAGCTCGGGAAGTTTCTGGACCTCGAGTTCATCCTGTCGAACACCATCTGCACCGACTCTACTGCCGGGAACAGCGACCGAGGGAGCGCGTCTCCCACGCAGCAGCACCAGTGCGGGTACTCTTTGCCGGAGTCGCCGGAAAGCTGCGGCGGCGGATCTCTGCCAGACTGCACTGACCACCCGCCTTCTCACCTGGCTCAGGGCTTCCCGGGCGTCCTCGGCGGCTTCGCGGAGTCGAGCCCCGTCCGCAGCCTGATGGCGGAGCTTCTTACGCCCGACATGAGATATCCAGAGGAAGGCGCTCCGGAGAGAACGAGCAAGGCGAGGGACAGCTGCGAGTACACCGAGCTGCGGGCTTTAAACGGCCCTCCGCTCCCCCACGCGGCGTCACCTCCGTCCCCGCTTGGATACAAAATAAAAACCGAGCCCGGGGTGCAGTCGTGCATGGTAGCTGTTGCCGGAGCCTTTGCGGAAGGAGCGTATGACAAACACCAGATGCGCACACCCGCGGCTTTTACGCACCACCAGCCTCCCGTTGCGGCGCAGGGCTTCGGCGCGCACCAGATCCAACTTCAGGGACGCACAGACTGCACGCTGCAGCCGCAAATGAGGCCCCACCACCATCATCATCATCTTCACCATCACGATCACGATCAGAACCAGCTGTCAAGCCAGTACATGAACGCGCCGTACCACCCGCATTACGCGCACCGAGGTGCACCACAGTTCCAAGGACAGTACAGCATGCATCCCCAGCAGCACCATCCCGCCGCCTCGCTGCAGGGAATGATGCTCACTCCGCCCTCGTCGCCTCTGCTGGACTTTTACGCGCACGACGAGCCCGGCTGCGTGAAGCAGAAGCGAGGCCGCAAGTCTTGGACCAGGAAACGCGCCGCCACGCACAACTGCGAGTTCCCTGGCTGCGGGAAGACGTACACCAAGAGCTCCCATCTCAAGGCGCACATGAGGACGCACACAGGTGAGCTGACCTTCGAACCTCGGCTTCTTCTCATCGGCGTTGCTGTGTTGTTTGTGCAGCGCGCGGCGCCCTAATTTCTAACGTTTTTGCCACAAGGTGGCGCTGCACTGCAAATCCTAACTTCAGTTTGGCTTTTCTGTTCGCCAGGTGAGAAGCCTTACCACTGCAACTGGGAAGGCTGCGGCTGGAAGTTCGCCCGATCCGACGAGCTGACTCGGCACTTCCGAAAGCACACCGGGCACAGGCCGTTTCAGTGTCACCTGTGCGAGCGCGCGTTCTCTCGCTCGGACCACCTGGCTCTCCACATGAAAAGGCACATGTAGGTCACTCTCAGCTTACAGACTCTCTTTATGGACCCTCCCGCCTCTCACCTCCAGGGTATCACTGTCAGCATCTCCAGAGACGCAGCACAGCAGGTGGCCAACTTCTAACTGAACTGCTGTATATGGACGAAATGAAGCATTCACATATAGGAGCGTGCCGACCTGCGGTCATTATGTAGTTTATAAGAAGATGCAAAGTGGGAAATGGTGGAGATTTTATATTTTTTATGTTTGTTTTTTTACTTTCTACAAGTGCCTCATTTCTACCAAATCAAGTGCCTCTAGTGGTTTTTGTATATTTTTGTAAAATAAAATAAAATAAAATATGACAAACACTGGCTAAGTTATAGTAGTTTAGTATTTAACTAATTTCTTCCATCTGCCTTTGTTCTAAGTTATTGATAAGTTGGTGAGTGCCTTAGCCAGACTGCTTATTTGCTCACTGTGGACCGGACCCAGGATTTTATACAAGTATACTTGTATAAATTATATATATTTATACAAGTATATATATATATTTTTTTTTTCCTCATTTTTACGTAGTCTGTTTCTAAGAATAAGGTAAAATCAGGTCAAAGTTACCATATTTTTCCTGAACATAACAGATGTCATAGCCTTGCTTTGCATTGTGGGATCAGCCTGCGTTTCACTTTCAGTCTTATTTTTTTATTTTTTTATTTTTTTGCTCATCCAAGCAAAAAAGAGAAAATTCAGGTACTATGCTAGTTTTCTACAGTGCTAACAGACACGACTTCCTTCAGCTCATCCACACATGGCTCATTTTGCGGGACTATGGTCAGGAATGAATGAATGAATGAATGTTGAGCGACTGCATCTAAGAATGAAGTATCCACTGTAACCACTGGTTAAACGGCTTTTACTTGAAACTAAAATGTAAGCTTGCATATGTACTGCTGATGGAATGCAAATGTTTTTCTATGTGCTCAAGGGCTTGGAATAATAAAAAAAAAGTACTTTTACAATAAACACGCTCTCGTTTTTGCTCATTTCAAACTGACACACAAGTTTATGTCTTTAACTTTTTTTCTTAATCTGCTCTTTTTGAAATCTCATGTTATTGAATCAAGCTAAGGTTTGAGAACCTTTAATTAACCACACTATTGCTTTGAACTTTTTTGTGAGTGTAAAAGGGTCAAACTGCTCTAAAATATACCACAACTTTTATTGTTACTTGATGGAGTTTCATTGTACTTGTAGTGTGGAACAAGGACCAGTGGTGGTATGCTGGCTGCTTTCCGTGGCTCAATCAGCCATTTTCATGCTAACAAGAAGCAAATTAGCTGTAGTCCAGAACCAAGAACCAAAACAACCTTCACTGCATTGATCTCTAATAGATACTATTCAGGAGAATGCAGAATATTTTCAGGACACCATTAGAAGACACCGAAGAACACCACAGCAAAGCCAAAACAAAGTGCCGGTATCCACTTAATGCTGCTTTCTATTTAACTCAAGTCAGAACACCGAACCCGACTCTACCATGTTCTGACAGAGAACTTGACATGGTGTGATGTTGCACTCAGTAACCAGGAAAACCTGTAATAGTACAGACCAATAACAATGGGTTTTATTTTATATGTACCCAAAATAATGAAACATGTTCACTAGTAGTAATATTTAATGTGATACAAAACTGAGAGAAGGGCTGATAAATAGCTGCAGCAGCTTTCACTGTGTCTTAAGCACACAGCATTCATAGTGGATTTTGAAGATGGAATTGGTTAGATTTGTAATTTCAGGGAATTATTATTATTATTATTATTATTATTATTATTATTATTATTTATTCGTTTTACCAACTAGAAAGTTGGAGATTTCTTAGTCTGTACAGGCTTTTATTTAACAGTAATCGGTCTGAGAATCGATCAGCTTCGTCGAAGGTGCCTCCGCTGCACATTCATACCAACGGAGGCGCCCCGCGCCCAACCTGGAGATTTTAACATCAAGTAACAACTGGTCGCATTTTTTTCCCCCCTGTCTTAATTTGTGACAAATGACAGCAAGTGTAAAACGTCCAGGTCTTTTCGGTGTACTACTTTAACACGTGATGCAAGTAAGTGGAAAATATTTCATATACCTAGAAGAACTGTAGCTGGTGAGTTGACCGGGATGCCTTTTAAAGGTCGCTTCGCTGCTTGTGCAATACTGCTCCCTAGTGGTCATGTAGTTGCGTTGTTCAGGTCAGTAAATTGTATTCACTGAAAAGTAACAATAAACTCAAGACAGACTCTAAACAGTTGTAAAAAACAAAACTATTGACCAGTGTAACTTTGACAATAAAATGTTTCATGACATGATCCTTTATTTTGAAGTCAGTTCATGTCTCCGTTTTTCTATTGCATGTTTTTTGTTTTGTTTATTTCCGGATCAGAGGTTAGTGATAATGTGTATTTCTCTTTATTAACCCTACATTTCTTTATCACCATTATTTTTGAATTGGTCACATGTAATTATCTAATCCTAAATTTCATGTTTTCATTAACTGTAAACAGAAAATCACCATTAACAGAGATAAAGGCTTGAGTACGTGAGTATGTGCGTATTTAAAGTATAAAACACGTTTTACTCAGTAAATTAACTGAAGTACATTCAATTTGGAACAACATTCTTATTTATTGAATATGTCCAAACATAGTCTTTACCTATAATAGATAAACCTATTATGAACATAAATCAGAAATATTTTTACTTCATTTGGAATAACAAGCAAGAAAATTTATATTTGTAATTCTCAGGTATTGTATTTCTTTTTTTTAATGACTATAATTTTTTTGTTTAGTTGCAAAATGCATTGTTAAAATATCACATTTTTCATATTTAAGTGCTGCAGATGTTTGTGGTACCACATCTGGTCTATCACTTGTTTTGGAGCATCACATCTTGATTACAAGTATTAAGGTATTACTAGGTATTAATATTTCAACAACCACTTATTCAGTGAAATCTCATTTTATTCCAACAGCTGCAACAAGGTCAAGTGTCGAGATCAGCTGCGTTTCTTTCTGAAAAAAAAGAAAAAAACATGGGCAGGAGTAAGAGAGTTTTTTCTTAATACTTAGTTTGTCCACTAGATGTCCCTCTTGATTTATTTCCCGCCACTGCAGCTTCTGTTGTAAGCCTCCTTGACGTGCTTCATGCTTGGTATATTTAAATCAGTCAGTAACAAGGACAAGTCCTGATGTTTTAATTAGGTTACACCAAAGTCCTGAGTTTTTGAAGTCAATCGCTTGCATCATATGCCAACTTTTTTTTGTGACTATTCATCATATTGTTTAAAATATAGGCTGTACAGATGAGTTTGGGGCAAATGAAGTCACACAAAATCACTCATTTTCTGAATGGAGCGTAAAGATTTTTTCCTTTGTCCTGCCTTATTCCATTCCCAGACAACATTCAGATTGTTTTCCATGTTAATTTCTACTTTGCTCCGGGTAAAGTTGAAAGTTTGTGGAGAAGTCAGGAGCTGTTTTTGAGCAATTAATAGTAATAGCAGTACCAGGTGACTCAGCAAAGAAACTGGGTTTAATGGGAATTTAAGCCTTTTAGTTTCCTAATTTAATGTTGAACCCTGAAGGCACCATTCCAAGATCAGCTGCTTGGATTTTCAATTATTAATATCTGGGGAATCAGACAACCTCCTTCGTTCGCGTCTTGTCATGTTTGCCAAAGAGGTCAGCGAGCAACAGTTCAGCAGGTAAAAAGGGATCCATTTCACAGATTTATTAACTAGTTAATATGTACAAAGTAAATTATGCAGCCTTGGATCTGGACCCCAGGAAGTGAGCTGAAGAATCCAGTTGAATAAATGAATCCTGAGAGCTGTCTCGCTTAAATCAATCAATCAAGTTTATTTGTTGAGCACCTTTCAGTGACAGGCCAGTTTCATCATGAAAACACCATAAACACGTCAACAGGTGTAAAAAAACAGTAACAGGTATTGCATCATTAGAATCATCATATGTTGGTCAAGGTTCTAGTGATTATGGTTCAAATGGAACTTTAAACAGGTGTGGTTTTATTCCTAATCCAAAGGAACTCAGAAAACTCAGAAATTAAGTTTCACCGCTGAGTCAGTGGTTTCAGCTGTTTTGCAGTTTTCTGGAAGTTTGTTCCAGGTGTGTTCCAGCATAAGAGCCAAATGCTAATTTTCCATGTCCTTTCAGTGATTTGCAAACTAACAATGGTATCTTTAAGTATATTCTCTGAGCTACAGGGAGCCAGTGTCAGGACTTCACATCTGGGATTATGTGCTCTATCTTTCTGGTTTTAGTGAGAATGTGAGCAGCGGCATTTTGGATCAGCTGCAGCTGATTTTTCAGGCAGAACTACGAAGGTACTGCTGAGGTCATCCATGAAGCTGAAGATGAATGCATGTGTGAGTTTCTCTAGATCCTAAAATGTTCATCAGGTGGTAGAAGACTGACTTTATAACCGTCTTTATGTGACTATCTCTCTCTCTCTTTCTCTCTCTGTCTCTCTCCTGTCTCTCTCTCTCTCTCTCTCTGTCTCTCTGTCTCTCTCTTCAAGAATGAAACAAACAGATTCCTATAGAAAAAAGAAACAATCAGTACTGGAACTATGAAAGCTTAACACGAAGACACTGAGGGATGAACTGGTAAGAGAACAATCTAGTCTCTGTCTGAGGGAGCTGGTTTTCTTAATGAGCTACAATCAACCAATCAGCTGCACTATGGCATGGAAAAAAAGAGAAGAGAGTCGAAAAACCTGCATACAGGCAAGTGGATGTGACACGCCGGAGCTTTAAAATGCTTCCAGAATAAATTTTGACAGCGTTTTTGTGACTTAATAGGCTCTTTAGCAATTGGATATCAGAGAACATGAGTTGTTGTTGTTTTTAACTCCCATTAAGCCCAGTTTCACCGCTGAGTCAGCTACCTGAGTGTCCACGTGAAATATCAAGCGTCAACAAAATGTCACACCGCTGAAGCCATGTTAGCACAAAATGTGCTCACAAAGACGTAGCTCCGTTTTTCCCACTCCTTTTCATTAATCCACCAGCTGGATATTTACAGTAGGACATCACTTCATTTATTATGATCGCTTTTAGAGGAATCCTAAGAAAAATCCTAAGAAATTTTAAAAATAATAATAATAATAATAATCAAAAAACCCTTTAAAATCATGCTTTATATAACTTTTTTTAGTCAAACTACATTTTGAAACAGGACCATTTCGATGCCTTAGAGCTTTGCATAAAGACTCTCTTCATGGTTTACCTGAGTGGTAATAATGCTTTAGTATTCTGCAGATGTTCTCTAGTGTGTGCGGGGAGTGTGTGTGTTGTCAAGGAGGCGAA